GATTTAAGAAAGATGCAGAAAAATTGGAAAGGGTCCAGAGGAGGGCAACAAAATGATCCAGGATTTGGAAACCCTGCCCTATAAGGAGAGACTGAGAGAACTGGGCATGTTCAGCCTTGAGAAGAAAAGACTGAGGGGGGACATGATATCCCTCTATAAGTACCTCAAAGGCTGTCACAAAGAGGAAGGTCAAGATCTCTTCTTGCTAATACCAGAGTGTAGGACATGCAATAATCAATTCAAGTGGTGACAACCCAGATTCAGGCTGGACATCAGGAAAAGCTTCCTCTCTCTCAGAGCAATACGACAGTGGAACCAGCTGCCTAGAGAGGTTTGGGCTCTCCCACACTAGAGACATACAAGAAGAAACTGGACAGTCATCTGAGTAGGATAGTGTAACTTGGTATCCTGCACCAGCAGGGGGTTGGACCTGATGGCCTTCATGGCCCCTTCTAACTCTACTATTCTATGATCTTGTGGAAGAGAGCTCCATAGTTTAACTGTGTGAAAAGTTTTGCCTTCTATCTGTCCTGAATCTTCCACCAATCAATTTCATGGGACAACACTGGGTTCTAGTATTATGTGTGGAAGAAAAAGTCTTTTTCCTCCAGCCCTTTATAAATTGCATTGCCTTTTCCTGTTCCAAATTGTTTGTTCTCACTGAGTCTGTACAAGTGTCTGTGGTCCAGTGGACGCAGTCCATCCAGACCCACAGATACTGTGTAGCCCTGTATAATACTGACAGCGGTTCCCAGATATCGGAAGATAAAGTGTTGATTTTGGAAGGCATAACTTCAAGTAGTTTTATGTAGAGGAAGTTTGGTCCTGTGAGGATGGCTATGTACAAAATATCATGATGTTACTTTTTTATAGTAAATGAAGAGATAATGAAACTTAATTTCTTCTTTTATTGTGCATCATAGGCTATAAATATAACCAGCATCTGCAAATATACCACATGACAAAATGTCACCAAAGATGGCACAGAATACACAGTTTACTAGCTTGTTTAATACTTCAGTGCCTAACAATATCCTCCACATTAACACATTTCTGCCATGTGTTATGATTTTGTATTATTGCAATTCATCATTTCATAGGAGTTTCCCATCAATCTGCATATGGATACGTAAGTGACAATTCTATTATTTTTTCCAAATGCAAAGATATTAAAAAAAAAAGGTTCTACAAGTCTTTTGTTCAAGAATTACTAAAACACAAGAACACATGACTTAAACCCCAGATTTAGAGTGACTGTACAGGGATATATATGCACATATACAGACATATATATGGGGGAAGGTGTAAGGAATGCAAGGAACTGGGCAGATGCCACACCATCATGTAGTCAGTATGTGGCTCTATCTGAAATTTCTTGAATCACATGAACATTTGCATGGTTCCATATAGATTGAAGGTATCAGAGGCAAGGGTCATGCCCAGAACCTCTGCAAAGATGTCTGAAGATGGACTCAGAGGGGAAGGAAGAGGAGGAGGTTGAGGGCACATGGCCACATAGCTGGTGTAACGTGTTAATATTGCTAAGAGCTCATTAAGCCATTTGGGAACCGGGGGAATGCCATTCCAGAGCAGAGAGGAGAATGGAAAGCAATTAAGTACTAGCAATCCCAGATGAAATGTCAAACAAAAAGTGGTGAGCAGTGTAGGGATATTATGCTAGTCAAAGTGGCTCACTACCTAGGAAACTCCCCATGGAAAGAGTGGCAGGGCCTAGTTTGAATGGGTAAACATTTGGTATCAACTCTCTTACTAGCTTGCCACCTTAGATTAAGAAGCTGAAACCTTTGCAGCCATTTCCTGTAACATGACCCCTGTGCAGCCTGAAGCAACATATAATAAAAGCCGATGGCTTGAGCAGAGGCAGGGCAGCCTGGAAACCAAGCAGAGGCAATACAAATTGATTTTAGCATTTTTAAAATATTAGGATTCTTTTTTTTTTTTTTGGAAGACTTCTTCTACAGGATTCCATCCAGAAGTAGTTACAAGGGCTGGGAATCCTCTCTTGCTCCTCAAAAATGCTGCTGAAGGGTTGATGGATGCTCACACTAGCAGACAGAGAGATCTGCCCAGAGAAGTAGAAGCATGCTCACAGCAGTTCTCCTATACAAGAACAGATGTTTTTCTGCTGCTATGGCTGCCCCACCAAGTGGAAGGGCCCAAAACAGAGCAATTTAGACATGCGTCACAGGTGGCTGAGAATGCACAGGTCCTGTGGTTTCATCCATCCCAGCCCCAAGCAAGGCCAAACACTATGTCATCCTGAAATGAGGCGCAATAACTTCACTTCCATTGAGGAAATGAGGACAGTGGAAAGAACTGTGGCAGAAGTGTGACATGTGAACTGTGAGAGAACCTAACAGAGAATCCCTGAGGTTGTAGAATTCCCTCTCCTCTGAGATGTACCCGGTGCCTTCACTGTATGCATTTGGTTGACTTACCCTTTTCCCAGACCTCTGGAAATGAATGAAGGATATGTGATCAAGTTGTTTTCTTCCTGTATTGATCTTTATGTACATACCTGCCCACAGTGTAACAGGCAGCCTTTAAATACATCTGCCACAGAGGCCCCACTACCATCTTAGGATATACTCTGTTTGGAATATTTCATTTATGAAACCAACAGAAGTATTCTGCTTACCTCACCAGTAGCCAAGGAGGAGCTGGAGAACCTGCTCACATCATACATGATTCCCTCATAACCATCTCTCCCCATTATATTTATGAAAAGCAGGCAATCACAACATTTTCACAGCCTAAACATTCATTATAGCTCAGAAAATCTTTTCATTTCCTTGGTAATGGCAATTACACATAACTATAGCAATCTGCTCATGAAACACATTTTCACTTCTACTGAATTCTTCAAAGTGAATGAAATTCTCTGGGTCAGAGGCCTTCCTTTATTTCCATACCAAAATAAGTATAAATGTGAAGATTTCATCATTAACTCTTCTTCAAGCTTGTTTGCTACTGCTGGGATTAAACTACAACCAATTTACAAAGGGTATAACCTCTGGTGATGAAATGCAATTTTTATTGGATAGTACATTGAGTATACCCTAGACTTTAATCTTTATAAAACAAATGAAATCCCAAGTTAAAGGATATTAACGTTATTTAATTAGGTATCTGTTATCAAATCAAAGTGAGATGGTAAGCTATGAGTCAAACTAATACTTTTGAAAAAGAAACAGATCCATTCCATAAACTATCAACAGAAAATAAAATAATACATGACTATATTTTAAGGCCAGTTAGGATAAGTGAAAAATTTTGAAAATGTTCAAGGGGGGGAAAAGTGATTATATTAAGCGATAGTATTAAAATTCATGGTGGTGTTTAAAAGTATAGTCTAATATACACTATTAAAGTATTGCTATGTCCATTGATAAATCCCTTATAAATTTTCAGAAAATTAATAACATTTTTAATAGGCACCCCTGGTCTTCCCCATACCCTACTAAACACTTGCCTTGTTTTCTAATTTTAACACTTCTTGTTCTGTTGGATTTCATTGCTAACAAGGAGGGATTAACCTTTGGTTGTGGAAAAGCCAGAACACAAGGAAGGCAACAACATCATTTTTTTAAGTGGCTGAGAGCTGTCCCTACCCTCCTCAGACTTCCCCTTTCCTGCTGAGCTTAGCTGTGGGCAATGCGATAACATAAAGTATTTGATAGCGGCTTGTCTCCACTGGTCAAGCAAGACCTAGTAGCTCTACAAATGCCTGTTCCTGGTGGGAATAAAACTTCTAGACCTGGTTTACTAATTTGGAGCAGAATGGCAGCCTGAATGGCTGGGGTCCCCTTGGGTGTGCCTGTTGGCACTGTTGCAATGAATACTCAACTCCTAAAAGTGCCCCTTCACTGCTTCTGTTTATCAGTCCACCCCATGGGTCAACCTTATGCTAACGAGGCACAATCAGGAATTATCTGAGGACACGATCAGATTGTAACCCGCATGGAAAGGTCCAGTTGCATTTCCCTTTCTGGGAATTTTCCAGTGCTTCTAGAAGTACCCTTGACTGTGCAATCTTCCTTTGCCTTTGAGCAGCTGGCTAAAACAGGCAGCTTTGAACTCCCAGCAGTCTCCCCTGGTCCTTGCCAGTTGCTCTGACAAGTTATGCCAGGATCTTGATATACACATTTTAATTAGCTAGTTCGATGTTTCCTTTTTATTTTAAAAGCAATGAAGCATTCCCAAACTTCTTTCTGCTTCATTCTGGAATCTATTCAATTGGAAACTGGGTTTGATTTAATTCTCTTGCCTAGTTGAAGCTGGCCACAACCAGCCAGCCTGAACCACTTCGTAAACACACTGAGCTGATTTCTAAGGAGTTTTAACAGGCACTGGAAAAGGAGTTTATGCTTCCCCAGAAGTGCAACAATCTGGATTCTCACATGTCTAAGATGAAAGCATTATTAGCTCTGTGGCTGCTTCTAATTTTCTCTGGCAATTGTAAGCATTGTCCAATTGTCATGCTAAATGGCATGAATGTTTGCTGGAGATTAAAGGGTGGGAGACAATCCCTGTGGATCTTTAACAGAAGAGAGCCTGCAGGAGACTGCTTGAACTGATGGAGCCAAACAGTTGCAGGCTGTCTGTGGATGTAGCCACCATGGAACGTCCATGACTAGGAGTAGTATACCTTGGATTGCTAGAAGCTAAGCATCCTTGCATGTTTCTCACAGCATAAAATTGGTTATTGCTGGACTGAGAGTACTGCAAAACTTGGTCCCTTGGTCTGATCCAGGAAGACAATTGTTATATCCAGACAAATATTTGTTTCCCAGTGATGCTGCTAATTCCTTCTGCTCGTCACACATATACTGGTGAACTCTGAAATTATCCTCTTGTACAGCAGCCCACTTAATATATAGTCACAGCACAGACTGACAGCATGCTAGAAGCTAGTGACATGCTTTCATAATAAAAAGACAGAAATAGCACATTTGAAAAATAATTTCTGGCTGACTTACTGTCCTGGACCGGATTTCTTTGGCATAGAGAGGTTTCAAGAATTCTGAATCCCCTTCCAGCTTTAAACCTTTTTCGGTAATCCTTAGGTTTCCCATTCCATCCTGAAATACACAAAAGGCTTCCCATTAGCTATGATTTCATAAATAGTAGGCTGTCAGAAATATGTTTCCTGGGAAAGAAAACCATGCAAAATACTGGGAGGCACTGTACCATGCAATCAGCCCTCAGACTTACTCTTTGTGAGAACACAGAGTTTCCAGCAATCTAAAATGCCCCCAAGTAGGCCATATATTCAGGTGAAAGATGCCCTTTAGCTTGTCATCGGGGAGAGAACGAGGTGAGAAAGTTGATAGGGTGGCATCTAATGTTAATACAAAGCCATTCATTGTAACATGTCCAACTTTCAGCGTTTATATTGATACTTCCCCCTTCATTTATTACTTGAGTCAGAACGCAGAAGATGCATTTGTCTCAAAATAATATCTTCCACATGGACAGCATGCAGTTTAGTGCATGTAGAAAAATTAAGTATAGTGCAATCTGAATGATCTTATCCCTTTCTTTGTGCATAATGAATTTGACGCTCTCATTTGACTTTTTATAAATCTAGTTTTACTAAAGTCTTTAGAGGTATTATGTATGTTCAACTCAACTCCCTAGAATTCTACAAAAAAAAAAAAAAGAACACACATCTTTTTTGCCACATTATGAAAAGCAGTCCAGAATCCAAATGAATGTTTTTACAGCTCTGTGCATGCCATTCTTTGTGTCTAATAGAACAATAATGCAAATCCACATCAAAAAGTAAAATATATGTAAGTTGCCATGTTTCATTTTTAATGTTGGAAAAGCATATCACCTGTTACAGCAGGAATCTTAGTCTAGCTGAAGACAATAACTCATAAAAAGTATATATGTAGGAGGTACAGATGCACAAAGTCATCGTCAAAGACATCAAAGAAACATGTAATGCTAAGTGTCATTTCTGACATATAAGAGACTTCTTGTGGTAGGAGTTCAGAATATTAGGTAAAATATAGGCTAATTACTTGCAGAAATTTCAGATCTTTATGTTCCAACTTTCAACTCCTGTTAATGGTCATCAATGATTAAATCTATCATTTGAAGCTCTTGTTCTTTCCATTCAAGGCCCTCCACGGTACCTGTGCATTTGCATGTGCATTTTCTCATCTAATTAGGGATGTATCAGGATGACTCCTAGACGTGATATAGCCTTCACAGTTAACATCACGGACAGGTTTTTTTCTTCTTTTTTGCATAGATCGCATCAGACATAAGAGCATTCCCCAGTCATTCAGTTTCAGTTGCTCACAAGAGACATTCAATGATGAGACACCAAATAACTTATGTTTGTGTGGAATTCTGCCCTGTATTTCCACTGGAAACACTGGAATGCAGCAACTGGCCTATGCTCTCATATGGATGGCTTGGGATAAGAGAGGATGGTAATTCCAATAGACCACAACGGTCTATTGTGGAAAAAATGCTTGATACTAGTCTTATGAAAACTAGCATACCAGCTATGACTACTGAGATGAAGGCAAAGAAGATCCTTCTCTGTGCCTCTTAAGCAAAGAGTTATCACCCCACCCCACCCCCCACAACCCTAATCAGAGGATATAGACTGCTGTTCCCACAATGCTGTTATTCCATTCAAGACTCATGACCACAAGTGTTTAGATCTCAGGCATGGATCTGAAAGAAGTGGCGCCCCATCTGTGGGCTCTCCCCCTTGTGTGGGTACTGGTCTTGCCTCAGCTGTCCCCACCTTGGAAAGACATCTGAGAAGTAGATCCTGTGGTGCAGCTACAGGTTCCCCCTGTGATTGTGAATCCTGACACAATGCTCCCAATCACAAGGGAAGCCTACCTGCGCACAAATATTTTCCCCAATACAGATGGTGGGATGGTGCAGTTAGCAGGTGTGACCCCACTTTCACCCTCTACACAATTACAGCTGCATGCGAACAACATAAAAAATGGAACCTTGGTCTCAGTACCTTTAGTAGGCTGGACTCCTGAGTCAATATGGTTTTGGGGAAGCTTTTGCCTGTGCCAAGACAACAATGTAACACGACTGACTGTATTTCAGCACTAACTGCGCCACCACGACAGTGCCAAAAATAAATAAGAAATAAACAGAAGCAGAACTGTACCGTATATGTAGACTTTTTATTAGTTCTATCATCTTTTCTAAAAAAAAGCATAAATAGCATCATAAACATCATGTTGCTCAGGAATCTTGTTGACTTAATATGAACATATGAGGTATTGATTCTCCAGTAATATTAATAGGATCAGGCAACAGTAACTTGATTTAAGATCTTCTGGCTCGCAGATACCAAGGGACTACTGTCCAGTGTTCCAATCCTCACTTTGCCATGAAGCTCACTGGGTGACTATCGGCCAGTGATTGACTCTCAACCTATTCTACTTCACAGGGAGGACAAAATGGAAAGCAGGAAAAACCATGTAAGCTGCCATGGGTGCCTTGCAAATGTCATTGTCACCATCATGAGCAACAAAAAGGGCTTCTTTCAGCATGTAAATAGGAAGAGGAAGGGGAGACAAGTGGTGGGGCCACTAAATAAGGAGGAAGGGGATCCAGTGACTGATGCGAGGGAACAGGCTCTGATGCTAAATGACTATTTTGCCTCTGTGTTCTCCCCAAAGCAGGACAGGGGAGATCTGCATGGGAGTTTAGATGAGGCCGGGGACTTAGGGGCACAGATTAGAGTCACCCCCCCCTAGAAGTTGAGGGGCTCCTCAGGGCACTGGACATTACAAAGGTGCCAGGTCCTGATGGGTTACACCCGAGAGTACTTAGAGAGTTGTCAGGGATTCTCTCACACCCACTGGCTTCCATTTTTGAGGCTTCATGGAGAACGGGTGAAGTTCCAGAGAACTAGAGGGTGGCATCAGTGGTCCCAATTTTCAAAAAGGGTAGTAGAAAGGACACGGGGAATTACAGACCTGTTAGCCTTACGTCCATTGTAGGAAAGGCTCATAATAGTGAGAGATCTAGTAATGCTAGATAGGGAAGGGAGGCTGGCAGCCACACAACACAGCTTCTGCAAAAACAGGTCCTGCCAGACAAACCTTGTGGAATTCTAAGACAAGATTTCGAGATGGCTAGATGGAGGGGATGCAGTGGATGTGGTATACCTGGATTTCAGCAAGGCCTTTGACAAAGTGCCCCATGATATCCTGGTGGAGAAACTGAGGAATTTTGGGATACACCAAAGCACTGTCCAATGGATAAGGGCATGGTTGAGTGCCTGAAAGCAGAGGGTAACCATTAGTGGGGAGTCATCGGGATGGCAGCCAGTGACAAGTGGGGTCCCCCAGGGCTCTGCCCTTGGGCCGATCCTGTTTAATCTTTTCATTAATGACATGGAAGAAGCGGTGAACAGTCTGCTGATCAAATTTGCAGACGATACTAAAACTGGAGCAGTGGCCACAACTGAGGAGCAGGTACTCCAGATCCAAAAGGATCTGGACAGACTATAGAAGTGGGCAGGAGACAACAGGATGGTATTCAATGTGGATAAGTGCAAGTTCTTGCACTTGGGGCATAGGAATAGGTGTCATAAGTACATAATAGGGGACAGGTGGCTGGAGAGCAGCACTTGTGAAAGGGACCTCGGGGTGCTGGTTGACTGCAGGCTAAACATGAGTCAGCAGTGTGATGCGGTGGTTAAGAGGGCGAACACCACCCTTGCTTGCATAGCCAGAAGTGTGGCTTCTAGATCAAGAGGTATTACTTCCACTCTACATGACTCTGGTGCATCCACAACTGGAGTATTGTGCTCAGTTTTGGGCCCCTCGTTACAGAAAGGATATAGCCAGGTTGGAGTCAGTGCAGCATAGAGCCACAAGGTTGGTGGCCGGTTTGCAGGGGATGCCGTATGAGGCAAGGCTGAGGGAACTGGGTCCTTCAGCCTGGAGAAGAGGAGACTCAGAGGGGATATGTTGGCAACATACAGGCATGTGAGGGGATGTCACATGGAGATGGGTAGAGACCTGTTCTCCCCTGCGGAGAAAGGCAGGACGCGCTCCAACAGAGCAAAGCTCAGGGAGCCAAGGTTCCATTTGGATGCCAGGAAGCACTTCCTGACAGTTAGGACCCCGAGGGTGTGGAAGGGGCTTCCACGAGAGGTCCTTGAGGCCCCATCAGTGCGGATGTTCAAGGATAGGCTGGACATGCACATGGTGGGCAAGTCGTGAGTGGAGCTGGCTGGAGCCGGGGGTCAGACTAGCTGGACCGGGAGGCCCCATCTGACTCGCTCTGTTTCTATGTTTCTGTCATCATTGAGGTGATCTCTGATGATTCCCCTGAAGCTATAAAATGATTTCCTATCCTGTTTGGAAGTCCCGCCCCAGAACTCCAGAGCAGATTTGAGGGACATGGGGACTTCTTCCTGTAAGACACCATTTTGATGAAAACACTTATAATTTAAAACAAGGAAACGCTGTGATTGTTAGTCCTTTTCAGATATTCAACAGACATCTGAAGGAGCCCACACTAGAGATGTTCAAAAAGAAACTGGATGGCCATCTGAGTGGGATGGTGTAATGTGGTTTACTACAACAGCAGGGAGTTGGACTTGATGGCCTCCACAGCACCTTCCAACTCTACTTTTCTATGATTCTGTGAGCCAGAGGGGATGCATGTGGGTGGAAATGTAGGAGAATTTAAGAAGAGCCTTGAATGAGTTTGGATGTCTATGAATCTGATCTGCAGATACTACAGCAGATTGACTTTTCCTGAGTTTCATGGTATTGTGGACTTTTAAAAAGCTTTCTATAATTGCATACAAATTTAGTCATAAAATATGAAAATTTTAAAAATGGCCTGAACAAACTTGCACAAATGTATATAGACATTACCATATTTGTCAGTCTGAAGAAGGCTTCTGCATGCACAGGCATTCATCCGCAGTACAGAACTTCTGAGCCAGCCTAAAGATATTGTTGGATTTACTCCAGAAGACATAATTTGGCCTGCAAGCCCTAATGATCATAATCCATTTTTTTCTTGAGAGCTCTCTGGCTCCTTGAGAGCAGACAGCATATGACTA